AATCCTTAGAAAAATGCAATGTGTTTACAGCTACCCTTGGGTAATTATAGCCCCCATTTTATGTTCCTTCCCCTTTGAAATTCTCATGAAACAGGAAAAGGTAGAGTATAAAAAATACGGGTGATTATTTATAATGTGTAAAGTCTTTGAATAATGTATCAAAAATCCATTAAAATAAATGAAAATAATGTATTTTAACAGCCCACCCACATACTAGTTGGAGATACTGAGTAACGAATGGCACAGCAGGGCCCGTGGCTCTTAGTCACGCTGGTTGTGGACAAATAATGAGCAAGGCATGTTTGAAATCCGAAGACATATGGGAAGTTTCCTCTCAGTGTTTTTTAAGGAAACTGTACAGTCGTCTTGAAATTATAAGCAACTACAGGAAGTATCTGCCCTTTAAAATTATATTGCTATCACAGACATAATCTAATAAACCCAAACCTAAGGTTGAGTGGGGGAAAGGCTGCTGGATTCCAAAACCAGAGGTCCAGGCTGTAGTCTCTTGCTTTGTGACCTTGTACCAGTTACCTGTTGCCACAATTATGATGCATGATAAACCACCCACATCAATGGCGTCCAATGATAAGCACTGGTTTTAGCATAGGAGCCTATGAGGGTCTGCTGATAGGGTCTGCGGGTCAGAGATGGGCTCCCATGTGCCTGCGGTCAGCCACAGGTTGGCGGGGTACCTCTCCTGTTCTTAGCTGAGCTCTGTCATGTGTTCCCAGCTTCCACTGGAGCTTCCATTGGAGCTGCCGAGTGCACTCGGTGCCACGCAGTCACTCATCCACCAGCGGCTAGCCCGCACTTGAGGCAGAGTTCCCTGAGAGGGAGGCTTGGGAGTGGAATGAAGTCACTTCCTCTGCATTCTGTTGGCCAGCACAAGTAAGGAGGCCGGCCCAGGAGTGAGAAGTAGACTCTACCTCCCGATGGAAGAAGCTGCAAAGTCCTATTACAGATACCAGGAGGGGAAGAATTGGGACCATTTTTATGATGAGGCTGTCAGAGTTCTGGGGCAGGTCACTGGACTGCTCTGAGTCACCATGACCTTGCTGCCTGTAAGCCACAGGTGGCTGGTTGTTCAGCCCAAGCAGAGAATGTAGGTGAACATACTTTTAAACCCAAATTCAGTGCACCATTTCAACTGAAGTTAACTAAGAAGTGGTGCAGGGGGTAAAAACAAAGAATTTTAAATATTTCTGTGAAGATGCTGCTGGTGGTCCAAACTGGTACCACTAGGAGATTCCTGTTTCTAAAATCAGAAAACATCAGATGGTTCTTGGGTTCAGAACTGGCCTCAGACTAGCCTCGTCCCAGTCACTGCACCCAAGGCCAAGGACTGAGGCCCAACTAACAATGGCTGCTGCCCCACCAGAAGCCACAGCAAACGTGAGGATCATTGCATGGTCTCTCTCAGGAACTAAACTGGTCTTGTCCCTGTATTTTGAAAAATAATGTTATCTTTATGCCAAACCCTGTTACCATTTGGCTAAATTTTTGAGGTATCCTCTTAGTAGTTAAGAACTTTTCATTTCTCTCAGTGATGTGCGTATTTTAGTAATATCTCTGGTAACGGTAGTTGGAAGTCAGCACAAGCATTTTTCAGTAACAGCCTTCCTCACTGTAAATGCCAGGCAGATGTGGGCCCTGAACAGCCTCTCAACTAAGTGCCTGCCGACTCCTGGCCACTTCTGCCCACACCGAGATGTCCAGAAGACACACTTAATCTTTACCTCTTCATCTTTCTGAGCATTCTCCAGCCAGCGGGCCCCGTTTCCAGACCTGCGGCCCTTCCTGGCAGTAGCTCTGGTCTGCAGTGCGGTTTTCCACTGCCTCGTGGTGCGTAGGGCGGAGAGGTGTCTGGGAGAACCAGGATGCAGACCTTCCAGAACGAAAATCCACAGGCGAGGCAGGACTCAGAACAGCCTTTGGCAGGCAACACTCTACTAAATGCCACTGGACACATCAAGTAACCTTGACTGGAAGACCATTAATTATATTACTAATTAACATGAGAAGAGTTGTGTTTTGTTTTCACCTGTGCTTGAGAGATCCAGACCAATTAGACCCCTGGCAGCTTGGATTCCGCAAGCCTGCGTGTGTAGCCTGGTTGTAAGTGAGGTTAGATGCGCTACGGCGTGAGGGCCAGAGACCGGCACTCCGGTGCCAGGAGCGAGCCTGTGTTCAGCCAGGCCTCCCCGGGCGGGAGGGGCCAGAGCGGGGCTTATCTAACCCCGCCCTGGACACCGGGGTCTTCGGCAGCACCAGGGGGCCCTGCCCGTCCCCCAGCCAGGCCGCTGCTTGGGAGCTGCGCTTGAATTTCCCCAAAGCCACCTTCATCTTAAAACCTGCTTAAAGGCTAAAGACACACAAATCCTTTTTGAAACTTGAGTCCATTTTAAGATGTCTTTACAAAAATCCCCTCTGAACCATCAGCTGTTATGTCGTGTAATTTCTTTTTCTTGAGAGCAACATTCTTGGTGATTACTGCTATAAGGAATTATAAGTCTCACCCAGTAAGAAGCTCTGTTCAGTTTCCCACGGTGATAATGTAGTCCTAAGGCGATTTTCTCCATTTCTACCTGAGGTGTACCTGAGGTGTTTTTTCATTTCACTCTGACTACTAAATCCTTCCCCTCCCCCCTTGTTTTCCTTTGCCTTTCCTGAGTTAGAAACACTATGTGGGAGGGTTGATTTGGGTCTGAGTCGATCCTAGCACAAAGTTCAGGTTAGGGGCAAGACAGCAGAACTGACGATCAAACATTCTTTAGAATATTTATCTTTGGACACTTTAAATCTTATTTTTTGATGGTATCATGGATGATTTTATATTTTTATAATCTGCATATCCACTGGCCAGATGCTTCTTTTCAAAACTTTAGCTATTCAATAAATAGAAAATGCTAAATAATCTTAGATTCAAGTTAGATTTAATTTAAAATGTCTTCTTTATTGTAAAATATATCTTTAAAATGTCTGTTTCTAATTTGCAATTTTATTTCCCATTTTCTTACGATCCATAGATCTTGAGTTTTATTGTTAACAATCAGTTGATATTGAGGTGTTGTTTTTTTGTTTGTTTGTTTGTTTTAACCAACTACAGATAATAAGTTTTAAAACCTAAATTATATGGTTCAAAGGATAACCTAAACGTAGTAGATTTCTCCAGGAAAAAAAAAAACCAGTGGGAGACAGCTTACAGGAGAGGCATTGCAGCTATGTAGACATAAAGCTGCCTAGCGGAGTTAGAGACAGTTGAAGGACACTGTCGGAGCCGAGCGCACACCCAGGGACCTCTGTGGCTAGATGCTCCCATAAGTGACGGTAGAGGTCCCTTTACAAAGTCATGCCACTTTAAAAATTCTGTATTCCTTTGTCTGGGCTTTCAGAAAGTAGAGAAAAGGGGTAATTAACATGTACACAACACGTGCCTTGTGCGCAGCTCTCTGCCAACTCTTCATTCTTCCTACAAAACACAGAATTTTTCACACCATTTGACAGATGAGGAAACTGAGGGTCATAGAGTAGTAGGCCTAGGGATAGACATGAGGATTCAGAACCCAAGTCCGACTGCACCCAAGCACCCTGAGCTGATCAGGCAGCACCTGTTGGCTTCTGCACCCAGGCCTCTGCCTGGCTCTCTTTGTGCCTGTGAGGGCAGGAAGGGAACGAACTGGGCCTGCTGAGGGAAAGGCTGTGTTTCCTTCCTGGGGAAATAAGCTGGGACTTCCAGTTATTACAGAAGCGAACGATAGGTGGCAGTACATGCATGGAACAATGTAGTGCCTGTGATCAGTAGATTTCCTTTTTTAGGTTCTGTATCATTTTCTAAGAAGCACTTTATATGAGTCATCTGAGCAATTTGTACAAAACATCCCTACCCATTGAAATAAAAAAAAAAAACAAGTATCAACTGTCAGACGTGTAGTTCCTTGCCTTTCGCCCTGTGACAGTGATAATGCTGAGCCATTTGGTATCCACTGTCCTAAACCTGGTTTAGACAAGCCTTATGATCCTTGCTGTGTAGGAGCCTCCTTTTGCCTTTTCTCTCTGTACTCTAAAGCTACTAGGGATGCTAAGAAAATTGCTTCTTTAAGAACTCTCCATCACCAAAGAGCAGGAAAATGTGTTCAACATCAGAAGGAGGGTAGGACAAAGAATCGGACTCCCTGTCTGGCCTAGTGTATAGCAGATACACAGCTGGGTGACCCTTTGCGACCGCAGTCTGGCAGCATCCCTCCTGGAACTTCAGGATTTGCCGCACACAAAGTGAGCCCCCTAGATAGCTCCGCCTCCCAGGCTCCAAGGGCAGATGGCAGGCAGCAGGCAGCCGGCAGAACCTCCCTGTGTTCCAAGGCTGTGCCTTTCTCACTGGGCTTAGGGTGTCCTTAAGTTTCTCTAGGACGAACCTGTGGTGTAGTTTTTTCTTGATATAAATGAGCTCCCTTGGTTGGTTTAAATAAAATTTTCCTTCGGATGACCCTATTCTGTCTATTTAAGGGGGGAAAGGAGTCTTCAGAGAGCTGTGGTCCTGGGTTGCTGGCTCTGGAGAGCTTTTGGGATTGTCCCCTTAGGATAGGGACACTAGATGACACCATGCAGCTGTATTTGGCCGAGGACCCCATTCATCAACAGGAATATAAACTCAGTGACTAAGCACATTTTGGGGGGCACCATCTATGTGTGGGTATTGTGCTGGGTGCTATAATATATGGCCTTCAATATTTGTCACTTAACATGAAATGAGTGTGGAAAAAACGAATACAATATTAATAGAAGTTATTATTTTATCATGTATCAAGTTGTAAAGTTATCAGGTGATTAATATCCTCTTGTATATTATCACTTATGACTTAAGAGTAATACTGGTCAGTCACTTCTCCACGTGAAGAATACATAAAATTGCTTTTTATTAGCAAAACCAGGCAGTCCTATTGTGTGCGACCAGGTAACAAATGCTGAGTGGACTTGGTGTCCTGTTTGCTTCTGCCCAGCCTGCAGAGTGGGATGAACCTGCAGATTTGCTTTGTCAACGACAGTGGCAGTGACAAGGACAGTGATGCAGATGACAGCAAGACTGAAACCAGCTTGGACACCCCCTTGTCACCCATGGTGAGTCTGCAGCTGCCCCTGAGGCACAGTGTGTGTGCTTTCCTAGTCATTCAGCTCCTTTTCTGTTGTTAGTCAGGAACAAGCATTACAGAGATTTAAACAGAGAAAAGTTGCTTTGCATTTCTTAACGTGCATGCCCCTAAAATCCAACAATGATTGAAAAATCAAAACTGATGCAGTGAGGATACATAAGCACTACTAAAGTTAGTAACTACTTTCCTATTAAACCATAGGAGAAATCACATGTACCCTAAAAAATTCTAAGTGAAAATATGCTAAATACCCATCCTTCCCCCACTGGGTTTAGAAACATGAGCACAGACTAGCAATAGGACTCATTCTAAAAGGACAGGGTAGGGGGAGGGGAGGCGGGAAAGCTTGTAGACAGAGCTGTCACTCAGAGAAACCAGCAAGTGTGTCTGGTATTCCTTACTCATTCCTTTGCACACACGTTATAAACGATGGCTTACTGATCACAGGTGCTCATTGCTGGAATTAGGGCCACTCTCACCAGCCAACTGTGTTTTCTTATCAAGGAAACCATGTTGGTCATTGGATACCTGGGATCCTGTCCACTCCAGAGGGCTACATACCGCCTTAGCTCTTGGTTGAATAGTTTGCTGTGTCTGGTCTTTTGAGACCAGGAATCAAAGTAATTGATTCAAGTTTGTCATAAATCTATTCTTCCTATTATTTATTTATTGCACTACTCTTTGTGCTAAAATCATAATCTGTTATCAAGAATGGGGAAATAAACTATCTTTTTAAGTGTTACTTGAGACTGGTGCATGTCAAATCAAGCGGCGAGCTGAGCGGATGGCGGGTAGTCTCGGGAGGGCTCAGGGATGCTCCAGCCCCTCTCCCAAGACGGTACCTGACGGGCAACGCTCAGCGCTGCTCTTTCTCCCTTTGCAGAGCAAACAGAGTTCTTCCTATTCTGATAGAGACACTACTGAAGAGGAATCTGAATCCCTAGATGATATGGATTTCCTCACCAGGCAAAAGAAATTGCAAGCCGAAGCCAAAATGGCCCTCGCCATGGCCAAACCCATGGCCAAAATGCAAGTAGAAGTGGAAAAACAGAACAGGAAAAAGTCTCCCGTCGCTGATCTCGTAAGCAGCAAGCGCCGAAACGCAAGCCAGTGTTTGCCGGCTGCAAATGGTTGACGCTGTCCTGGCCCTTTACCAGAGTTATGCAAACTTGGGTTTCTCCAAGGCAGTTTGTAAAAAGTACTGTCATTGAGAAATATTTAAGTCTGTTTCTTTTTCCTTTCTACTGTATCACGGAAAGATACATCAGCAACAGATTTCACAAAAGTAAAGTTTGCTCTTGATTCATATCTACTGTGTTTCTTAGGGGCAATATTAGCTGTCATGGGAATATCAACATTTAAATTCCTTTAAAGCATTCTCAGTTTGGGAACCTACCGGTTGAGGCAAACTCACTACTGGCTGTAGTTCTCATACCTACCTTTGGGCGAAGACAATATGGCGTAGTAGACAAGAGGCCTACCTCTGCCACGGACCTGCTGTGGGGCTCTGGGCAAGTTACACAAGCCTCAGTTTTCTCATCTCTAAAATAGGACTCACAGTAACACCTGTGTCACAGCACGATGGTGAGAATTCATCCAGTGAACAAAGCATCCAAAGCACATAGCACAGTGCTTGTAGCATGGTATAAATTAATAAATAGCTGATGTTATTAATTTTATCCATGTCGTTAATATTATTTGAGCTCCCTGGTCATTCATTTGGGGATATAATCCCTGACTCAAGGTTGTCGCGGCCTACTTTAAGAGCCAGGCTGAAAGCGTCAGCATTCTGATGCTGATGGTGTTAGACAGTGTGGCGTGCAGGGCCTCGCATTGGGAAAGGGGGCCTGAGGAAGCTTTTAAGCCCAGAGCTGGAACTGAAGTGGGTGGGTGGGGGAGGAGGGGCGTTAGGAAGAAACTGGGTCTTGGGTTCAGTGGGCTTGCTGCTCTGTTCACACCTCCATTTCTTCCCCTTGTACCTCCAGCTGCCACACATGCCTCATATAAGCGAATGCTTGATGAAAAGAAGTTTAAAGCCCGCTGACCTGAGAGACATGACGGTTGGGCAGCTACAAGTGATAGTCAATGATCTCCATTCGCAGATAGAAAGTAAGTATAAAATGTGCCTGGAAATGGAATAATAAATGTAACATGCAACGGGCTAGCACCACTTCCTTGATTCAATGCCTTTGTGCAGCATTTCAATGGGTTCCTCCTGTGTGCTTGCAAGGAAAGGAAGGGACTCACAAACTCTCTAACTCTCTCCCTCTCCCTCTCTCTTTTGTTGCTTTGAAATATTCGGAAACTTTAAGAATTTTTCAAGGTTAGGTCATTTGTATTTACTTTAAATCGCCAGCCCCTAGCGAGTGTTTGGGATGTACTTGGCCTGCACCATCTGTTTCTAGGACACCATTTAGTAGTTACAGGTCATATATTATATGGTTATACCCTCAACTTTACTGATACATTTATTCATTTTAGGTCATCAAATCAAATTCAACTTACTTTGTGGTACTTCACGTGGTGAGAGTATATATGACCAACATGTGAAAATTACAGAGTGACAACCTGTGGGCCTGTTTCCCCCAGAATAGCTGACGTCCAGAGGGGCAGTGAGTGAGGGGCGCTCACCCGAGCTGATTAGAGGTGCAGAGAAGGTCCACTGCTCAGACGAGTGAAAGAGAGAACATGCTCACGTGGGCAGTGTGGCTAGGCCAGATGGACTCACGAGCCTTCTGAATAATATATGGTTTCTTAAAATCATGTAGACTTCCAGATAAAGCCACCAAAGAGAGATGCCATCCAAAAGAGTTCAGGCAAACCAGCTATGAAAAGCATTTTTTAGGAGCCAAGTGGGGAAATCTGAACACCAACTAAATGTTTTATTAAAGACTTATTTTTTTTATTCTGATAAAATAACAATATTGTGATTGGGTTCATTTTTTTTTAAGAGCCCTATCTTTAGAAATATATACTGAAGCTCTGACAGATGATATAATATGATGTCTGGAATTTGTTTTAAAATAATCCAGTAGGAGAAGGGGCGATAACGTGAGTCAAGATTGGCTACTTAAAGCTAGTTGGATGCATGGGATATCTATGGTACATGTACCCATGAATAGTTACTCCTTCTGACTTGAATGCAATCTTATCTATTTTAAAATGCTCTTCCTCTCTTTGCCCCAGGCTTGAATGAAGAGCTGGTCCAGCTGCTTCTCATCCGAGATGAGCTGCACACAGAACAAGATGCTATGCTGGTGGACATTGAAGACTTGACCAGGTCGGTGAGGTTTTGCCCTTTCCAAAGAAAGAAAGAAGCCCGGGATGGTCTGAAGTTTCAGAATTAGGGCAGGAGCGAGCGCTGGAGAACCGCCTCTCTCACTTCCATGAGCCGCTCACCTAATCCCTGCTGGTGTCAGCTGATTAGATGGAAGAGAAGTGGCCCACACTGCTCCTTGCAGGACAGACACAGTGCTTCTCAAAACCTTCCCCACCCCCGTTCCACCCCCATGATGGGTTGTTGGGGCATAGAACATGTGAGCGCACCCAAATCAGGTCAGCAGTTCTGGCCTAGGAGGACTTTGTCCCAGAGGACTGGCCCTGGAGAGTTGGCTCTAAGCTATTCCACACTGGCAGATTTCCAGTGTACGAGCAGCCACATGGTGGAAGCCACAAAATGGCACTTGCTGTTATGTGACGTGACTCTTGATCACATGTGCTGTGCCCAGAAGGCAGGGACACTGGAATCTTTCCACAGGACCAGTGCCGCCAGATTGCTCTCCCCAGGGGGAAACGCTAGGCCTTGGGTATCTTGCCAGGCCTGGGTCCAGGTGCCTCTCTGTGAAGAGGGAAAGAAGGCTTCCTTCCCCAGGGGATAAGGAAACTAGGCTAATGCTAGTCAAGATCTTGCAGTTGCTAGTTTTTCTTACAGAAAAGCCTGTCACCATAACTATAGAAAGTGCACAAAATGCCATGAGCATTCCTATTATCTCATATTTACCTTGGTGCCTTTTCTGAGACAGGTTATTTGAAGTCTTTAAACCAGGAGGCAACAATTTCTATTAATCCCAGGAATGGTGTTCAGAGAGTAAAAGGCTCCCCGAGGAAGGAAAGAACACTGTTTGCCACAATAACATAAGGAATTAACTGCATGATCCAGAACTATCCAAGAGAAGCTTGAAAACATGTGGTGAAAATGCTCTCAGGACCCCCTCTCAGTGTGTAACACTGGGTGAAATATTTTTCTGAATGCAATTGTTATTAAAATAGTTCTGATAGCAAAATAATGCCACAGAACCATGTTGAGGCTTTAAAAAAAAAAAAAGACCTATGTGCAGCACTCTGTTTTGTATGCTTTGAATACTATTGCCTCACCCCTAACAAAAAGACAGTGACAAAAAAAAAAAAAAGCCAGAAGGCCTTCCTGTACCTTCTTAGCATATGTACCTGCATCTGAAATAATATTCAAATAATATTATTGCCATCTACAGATGTATTCAGGCACTGCACCAACAAACTATAAGATACATTGCTTTGTGTTATTCTAAGAAATTGCATACAGGCATTAAGATTATGGGAAATCATTAGTGAAATATACACCCAGGACCTGCATCTTTGAAAAATAAGCGAACTCTTTGAGAAATCTGTAATTTGCCTATTCGAGCGGAGACTTTTACCCTACCCCTCAGAGCAGCATCGGCCTTACTCGCTGCAAGGAGGACATTGAGAGGCTCCTCCCTTCTCCCCAAGGATTACGTTGTTACTTAGGATTGTGGTATATGTTTTGTGTATACCTTTCAGGGTATGATCATGGGAGGCAAGGCAGGCAGAACCAAAGGGTTAAAAGGGGAAGAGTCACTAACTTAAAGGTTTTGGAAGAACCCTCTACATTGGAGTAGGTAGGGAGGAGTTTCTATGTCTATTCCTGGCTGCAGAAATATAACTTTGCTCATGGGGGAAACTGAGGACACTTAAATGTCCCTACAGAGCTTTGCAGCCAGATCTGAGTGGCCTGAAAGTATGGCTGTAAGGCTGCTGCCGTCCCGTTTACCCCTTCTCCTCACCTGCCCCACCCCTGCCATCCGGGGGCAGTTCAGGTCCGTGGTTCTCAGGTTTGGCTGCGCATTGGAACCCCCAGGAACCTTTACAAAGTGTCGGCACATAAATAGGGCCACGAGGTGGTCTGCTAAAAAGCATAATTTTTTTTCGTTTAGGAATAGAGGCTTTTTCTTGAGTTCCTTTATTGTTAAATGAATATCACCAATTATTTGTGGGCTGTTGAATGTGGCAAGGACACTGTTGTCACTTCCCTATTTCAGAAAGTATTTGCGGTTTGTCTTCTCTGTACTATAGATATGAGCCATTTTGCATAAAACCAATGAGGTAATCTTGACGTCATTGACTACCCAGAGCAGGGCAGCACCCAAAAACGGCCTCTGATCCTTTGGGTACAGCTAGAAGCCACACCCTTTAGAGGCTTTTCTCTTGCCAAATTTATAATTTCCTAATACCGCTCTTCAAAACATTAGTCTTTCGCAGCCCTGCCATTCCCTGAGATGTCTCATTAGTGCCCATTCAAGGGATGGAAGCAGCTTGGCCATTCCTCCCGCCGTCTCCGCTGGCCAGGCGCTGGGTCGGCTAAACTCTGGGCTCCCGGTACAGAACAGAGCGGATGAATACGAAGACTCACCCCCTCCTACCCCTGCCTGCACTGCCCTGATCATGCCCCGAGGGCTTTTTGAGGGGTGGGGGGAGCTATGCAAACAGGGAAATCCTTAACATCCACCAAAGCCTGCCACTTGCCAGAAAGACATTAACTTTTCTACGAAGGGCATTAGATCATTGACCTCTAATTTCTGTCAGGAGCCTTGCTAATAATACTTAGATGGGTGTCTGTGTGTGCATGCATGTTTTTAGATAAAGTAGCCACAGAGTGACTGTCACCCTACCTTGTTTTGACTCTTTGCTTAATGCTCCTTTTCCTATGTGCTCGCTCCTTGTTTGCTGTTTGTTCCTTTTTGTCTCTCTCCATCGGCATATATGCTCCATGAAAACAGAGGCCACGTTGGCTGCTCTCCACCAAATCCCTCACATCCCCAGCAGTGCCTGGCACATAGTAAACATCTGTTGAATAAATGGTCCCGGAGACTTTTCTCCACATTTTTAAACATAGCACTTTACCCCATCTCAGGTTAATCCAGTGGCTTAGTAAATAAAAAGAATTGTGCATAGAATATAAAAATTGAAGAGGGCAAATCCATTCAAATGAAGAACAGTTTCTTGGTTCTCCTGATTTCACTGTGAGTAAGTCTGAACCTCAGTTTGGAGGATGTTTTAGCTATTGATTGGAAAGTATCCCGGATCTTTCTTCTTAGCACTAAATAATTGTACTAATTTTACAGACATGCCGAAAGTCAGCAGAAGCACATGGCAGAGAAAATGCCTGCAAAGTGAGAAGAAGCCATCCAACCGGAGGACAAGCTAGACTTCATTTTGCTTCTGTGGTTGTAAAAATGTTGTTGCTAAAGGTGGCACAGAAACAAACAAATATCAGTGTTAGTCATTGATGATGTCTGAAGCTTAATGTCCAGTGATTGGCCGTTGCTTCTTAATTTATTTTAATTTTTTTACTGTGCCACTAAATATCAGGCATTTTAATAAAATAATGTTACAAAAATGTACAGTACTTACACCATCACAAACTCATGGTTAATTAAAGAGGGTAGTTTTAACTTTATTTTTATTTGTTTAGACATTTTAAGTTGGAGCAGTGTTCTCCCATTCACTACTTTCATCCTTCACTGTAGTTTTAAAGAACTGTAAATGACGGTGCTATATAAGTCAAAAAATACATGCCTGCCTCGTAGTGAAGTTGTAGCTCTCCATAATATGTATATTTTAATCAGTTTTCAACATTTTGTGAATGTTGACTACCTGAAGTTCATTTTTAGATGTGCTATTAACATTCTGTTGGATTCAGAGGGTTCCTTGAAAGTTTTATGTATAAATATGTAAAATAAAAATTAAAACTTTGTTTCATATGATACATCTTTTTGCTCACTAGCGAGCCCTACATTGGCTATATTTCTTCCCTTTTCACCCTCCCTCAACTGAATTCCTCACCAGGAATTCTTTCCCGTTTTATCCACTTCCATTGGTCTCATGAAGAAAAATGCCAAGTCTAAAGAAGTAGAGGCAGGTTATTTTTATCAGAGAAAAAAACAAAGTACTCTCCAGAGGACAAGCAATGCCGTGAACAGCCAGGAAGATGGGGAAGAGTGTGTGAGGGTGTGCGTGAGTGAATGTGTGTGTGAATGAGGATGTGTGAGAAAGTGTGTATGTGTATGTGAGTGACCCAAAGACGACAACGTCAATAGCCTCCAAACTAGTGCTTCTGCTGCTGCTCCAAGCTGCCGTTCTGGGATTCTAGCCCTGTACCATTTACTAGCTGCTGGCCTTGTTAGAGCCTCTTACTGCATCAAAATTCCATTTATCCAATTGGCCTCATGAACCCGTGTTGTTTGCACGTATGCTTTTCTGGAGGCCAGGTGTTGCCATTTCTCCAATTTTAATCACTTCCACTGGTCTCATGAAGAAAAATGCCAAGTCCAAAGAAGTATTATTCCCCCCAAAGTAGAAAGCTTCAGAAAATCAGTTCAATTAACTAACATCCATGCAGGTGTTAGGGAAGCATAAACTAAAGCAGAGATGAGCAGCCAACATTCCAGAACCACCCACAGACCACCTGGTTTCACTCTAAGGTCCATGACGTAATCTGAAAATAGAAGTTTAGACAACTGTCTACATTTTCCTTTCTTAAAAATACCCAGCTACACAGTTTAAGTAATAGTAATAAGGAGCTGCCAGGTTTCATAGTCTTCTATAATCTTAAATTGTAACACTAATTACTTTTAGGGGCCTCAGACAAGTTATTTTCATTTGGAAAAGAAAAATAAAGCAGCCCTAAAATGTATTTTCAATGTGAGTTGACTATTGCACAGGGCAGTTTGCTCACCATTGCGCTAAAGGGTGGTGCCCAAAGTCCTCTCTGCCCACAGGTTGCGAATGGAGCCTGAAGCCCAGCACCAGCTGCCAGCGATCTCCTGGGCTGCTCCCAGCCGAGAATCCTGGCCCAGCTCCTGGACTTCTGCTGCTTCGTCTGTGTGAAAACATTGGTCAGTAAGCAGTGATTCTCATCCTCACCTGAGAAATTTAGCAACCATGGGGGCTGCTCCCCCCGACACCCAGGACCGGGGTCCCACACCCACAGATACTGATCTAAGGGTCCTAGGTAATACTAATGCTGAGAACTGCCTCGGACTTTCTTCCTTTTTAGCTCTTCTTTATTTGTTTAGTATCTAATATTTTCCTAATTAAAATGTATTACTACTAATTTGAACTTCTGGGGAGAGCCAATGTAGAAAGGGTGCTCCAAAAAAACGCCTGCATTCAAGTAACATAGTGTGAGCTCGAAACCTCCCTCATGACGCCCACAACCTGGAATCCTGACGCTGAAACTCAGCCCACCAAGACCGAATTTTTTTTAATCCTTGCCAGAATTACCAGTTTCGATAAAAATTTAGAAATGAGTTTTCTCTTCGTCTTAAGCAATGTAATCGCTGGCTAGACCCGTGTTATGAAGAAATCCGTGGCTTCGAAACTCTTCAGGGGTCTGAATCCCCTTATCAGAACTAGAGAGCCTCCAACTTGGGAAGGAAGAAACTGAGATTACACCAGAAAGGCCCCCGGAAAAACACCTCCGGGGTCAAAGCCGGCTGGAAGTAGAGCAGTTCTTCCCACACCCCAAGGCCCTCAGAGGAGATTACATTTGGCGTCCGATGCCCCTTCCACACTCCTCTGCCCCTGGTAGAGATGTCTCCACCTGACTCCCTTCCAAAGGGATTCTTTCAGAATGCAGTCTTTGGGTCCTATTGCTTAGGTTTTTCAGCCAGGACTGGGATTGTTACCAAGATTTTCTCATCTGCACTAGATCTCCCTTCTGTATATAAACTGGGACCTTTAACCAGGCTTAGTTAGAAATATAGACTACCTGACCTAAAAAATAGGGCCTCCTCTCTTCCCGATTTTAAGAGAATGTGTGAGTGCCCAGGTTCTGGGGCCCAGAGGGAGCCGGGCACAGAAGCTGACTCCACCACCTTTCTAGTGATTTGACCTTGAGGAAGTTACTGCAGCTCAATTTTATTTTATCACCTGAAAATAAGCTCTCTTGGGGTTATTCTAAATAATGAGTAAAATCGTGTTCATGAACACCCCTGGCACCCAGTAGACCCTCAATAAATAATTGCTGAAAGGGATACATGATCACGATTTGGGTGGAGGAGGCATGTGTATTTTACTAGTTTCTGAGATTTAACACATCCTTGAGGGGGGTTTTCCTCGTGTTTATAAATCATTAATTTACAAAACAGATACTCAAGTTAAAAATAACGTCAATCTTCAAGCCCCATCACTCCTCCAAATATCAACGTTAAAACTTGGAATATATTCTTATACACCTTTTCCATGCATATACAAACAGATACAACAAATAGATTTTGTGTTTCAATTTGTTTATACAAGGGTGAGATCATATAAAATAGTGTTTTGCAACCTGCTTTGTCCATGGACACCCTTCTAGGTGAGTCCACGTGGATGGATCTAAGTCCATTATTTTTTTTTACAACTGTATAATCATCCCCCATATGATAGAACATACTATATCCGGCTATTCCTTTTAATGGTGAGTATTAAGGATCCTTCCAGGTTTCGGCCGCTAAACACAGTGATGCAATAAATATGCTTGCACTTAATCTACTTGTTCTTTTATTCTGTGATAACCTCTCTCCAAAGTGTTGATTTACGGTCCGCAGACTCTCTTTCCACAGAATGCAATCTCTACTGTTTCTGATTAAAGAGCCCAATGGACGATCAGGCTAGCCATCTGCCAGAAGTCATGCCTCCCCACTATGTTCACAGGTAGAGCGTTGTCTCTGGGAAGTGGCTAGACAGGACCTGGCTACACTTCCCTCTCACCACCCCCTTGCTTGTAGATGTGACCCATGACTGATTTTCATCAATAGAACATGAGTGAGTGTGACGTGTCTTCATTCCAGCCAAGCCTTTGAAGAAGGGGTTCGCCTTCTCCATGCTTTCTCCTCTTTCCTACATCAATCACAGGAACCCAGGGGGTGGCAGAGCCTCAGTGTGGAGGGAGCCTGGATCCTGGAGGCCCCTGCATGGGGTGGGCCGTCCAGCAGGGTCTGCCCCAGACCATCACAGGAGTGAGACAGAAACTATGGTTATGTTTGAGCCATTATACTGCATCAAGTCTTTGTTACAGCAGCTAGCATCACCGTAACCGAGGCAAGTCCTTAGCAAGGAAAGCCATAGTCTTTTAGGAAAAAGCTAGACTGCAGACCCAGGTCTCTAAAGGCAAACCCTGTGTTCTTAACCCCCACGCAACACTGCTTCTAGCGGCCCCACCCCTTTCCTCTAAAACATCTTCTCTAGGTCAGTGACGTATCCTTTTTCAGTTTGTGGACCTCTTCAGTTTAGTTTAAATCCTCCCTTCCCCCCACTCTATCTTTCCCTCTAGTCACTGGGTCAGAATGAGATTTGCCACAAACAATTCACAGCAGAAACAAGGATACGGATTCTATTACGATGCCAGAAACACAAATATTTATCAAGTGACTGCAGGAGACTCTTTTCGGTGACCATCTGGAAGAGCCTTGGGTTTCTACAGTCCTCAAGACCACACTTTGATTATTAATACCCCAGCTGAATTCTGATGCGTAGAAAAAGCAATTACCTTTGGTACTGATGTTCATTTATTTTTTTTCTAAATAAGATATGACACATTCATTATGAGATAGGTTGATGGGTAATGAGTTTTTCAGGATATTTTAATTGGGACTCATAGCCCACTGTCGGTATAAATTAACATTATATTAAACATTATGAATTAATGGCCTAGCTATGCAAAATGAAAGTGCCCTCCTAATTTCTGAGTGAGAATGCACAGTCTTTCATTTAGTAGGAAACGATTTACCGGGATGAATTAACTGGCTGTAAGAAATTCCTTCCCATGGTATGCTTGCCTTCACACATTTCTCTTCCAGAACAATGCTCTGCCTGGGGTTATACCGCTGCCCTTGTTTCAAAATGCACTGCATGAACTTCCTTGCACCGATGTACAAGAGCCCAGGGTGGAAAAGCAATACTTACGGAAAACACTATTTTATTTTCACTCTCCAGACTAGGCATTCAAACTTTCTTAGTGATTATTTACTACTAGAGTCTCTTTTCTCTTATATTCAATCAGGACCTTATTTGCTTTTTGACTTTGCAGAAAACAGTGGCATGGATCCTGGCTCTGGTAAAAGTATAGACGAGGCTGGAAAAGAGTTCTTTAATTTTCTGGCTCATGAAGTTACTTCCTTCCAGCTGTCTGTTAGTTCTCAATAGAAATGACAGTCTGTACTGATACGTCCTCTCACCTTGTGAGGGGGCTTTTTAGGTCACAGAGCATCCTTGCGTATTAGAAGTGATGCCTGAAAGACAGCAGGAGCCCATACTTTACCTTAAGAGCAATTTAAGTGTGAGGGTTAAAGGGGCCAAGCGTTTACTCTTACAAGCAAAGGGAAGACAGGACTTCACTAATTTATCACAAAACATCCCTCTCCTATTTCCAATGATGTGAAGGGCTTTTGTCTATGTCACTCCAGAGGCTAGTTTTGAGTCATTGTCTCAGATGCAAATCAGACTGAGAGTCAAGCACCAGACAACTCTGTTGAGCTAAGTAATTTTTTAAGGGAAGTCATAATGGCCCTGGGAAGAAGAATTAGGTGTGGGGATGTTTTGTATGGGACTAACAAATCCATCTCCCTGCAGTTCTGGCTAAATCAAGAGTGGGAGTGAAAAAGAACACGGGCCTTTCCGGAGTTCCCAAACCAATCTCAGCACGCTGCAAGAGGGGGTGCTGTATCTGCAAGGGAGACACAGCTCTCACTTCCTGGACCTGAGGCCAAGAGCCCGAG